TGTCGGTGTCGGTTTCGGTGTCGGTGTCGCCCAGCACAACGTAATTTATTTTTGGCGCAATTGCGGAAGAGACGGCAGCGTCAGCCACGCCACTCTGATGTTCAACCCGTCAGGACACTGGCTGCAGCCAACCTGGTGGCGCGTCCTCGCACTCCTTGTGGCAACATGTGAGGGCAATAAGTGTATTCCACATGAGTGGCTTTGCCGAGATTCGCGATTCACAGCGTGTTAGGTGTTTAACTTGGATCAAAGAGAAATCACTTGCGGCGTTTTCCACCTCCTTCCCCCTTCCCCCTTCCCCACCCATCAACAAAAACGACTCAGAACGTCAGAGTCGAGGCACTGATGTCATTATCAGTTCGGATCGTATTTTCATTGCCTGCTTATGGTGCAGAGAAGGAGTTATTTCGTAAAGATGCACCATTTCGATAAATGTTGGAGTTGTTATATTTTAATTATTTATAAATTTTAGGTGAGCCAGAGTGCTGGTATTTATTTGCTCTCCTCTGGCTAATATAAAATGCGAATAATATTTTTGCATGCTAATCAATGTAAAATAAATGCTTACTATCAAAAATTAGAATTTCGTAGCGTATTTCGGATAATTGCCAAAAAATATGCATAGTTAGGTTAACATCTGAATGGTTGCAAATTATTTTGTGATTATTTACTGATGTATGTATGCATGGAATTTATTATTAGCATATGCTTAAACGAGTCTGCACGATGTGTATACATACATAAGTGCACATACATATGCATATACGAAAATTCACCCACACTGTCAGACATGGCAATTTGTGTGTGCAAGGACTTATCGTTAAGCATTCATATAGCTCGAACACGAACTATGCTCAATTTGTTTACTTTATGGTTGCAAAATTGTGCAAAATGTTAAGTAAACAAAATTTATTTGTCAAATATGTCACACTGCACAAGTGAACATGGAGGGGTGGCAGCAGCAAGAGCCTCTTCCCTGTTCTGAATGTGTTGTACTTTCGTATGGACTTGGAGTTTGTGCTCCATGGCTGAGTGCTTTCTGGCCAAATGTGCGTCCATTTCAGAAAATTAGGCTGTAATCGCGTTCACGCTTTCGCTTCCGATGATAGTACTAGACTTTTTTCCCCAGCCCAATGCTTGTTAACTGCCTTTGACTATTGTTATGGACGGGCCCCGGGCTGAGCCTCAATTTCATGGCAAACTTGTCATGCCGCCAAGCCGACACATAGGTGCAAATCTGTGGCACAGTCGACAGTCGACATTCGGCAGTCGACGCGATGCCGGCAGCGGCATCATTATCATTGCCAACGACATTGCGTCATTAAACGAGATGTTCAACAACCGGAAAGCCAAATGTCCTTGCGCCCCAATGGCCTGATCGCAGTCACAGTCGGTGTTTACTGTAAGCAAAAGCACGCACACACACACACACTGGGACACGTATGTGGAGCATGCAACACTTTGCTGTTGCAAATAAAGCCCACGAATATAAATTCAACTGCGATTTCAGTTGCCTAAACGATTCGGTATGCACGAGAGTATATTTATCACAAGTGCAGGGCTCCGGCTCCGGCTCCGGCTCTGGCGCTGGCTCTGGCGCTGGCTCTGGCTGAGGCTCATCAGGACATACTTTCACCGCCACTTTCACTGGCCAGCCGCATGGACCACACGATTGCCGCCTGGCGACTGAACTGTAAATTTATGGCATGCATTTGTTTTGCACTCCCGATTTGATTAATGTTGTGACAGCTTTACAAGTGTCGCGCCCCGAGCAGTCGCTGCGGCCAAAGTTCGTGAGGGGATTCATCATTTACACAACAACCAACAGAACAACAGTTGTCTGAATGTCCTTAACACGGAGTACACTAAGAGCTCTTCACTACAGAGAATATAAATTTAAAATATAACACTTTGGCACACGGTCAATTTACTCGAATGGAGCTCCTAATCCCACAGGTAATTGCCTTCTAAATCGAATTATGAAAAGTTGTGTCTGGTTGACAATAAAAACGAGCTGTAGCTTGTGATTCCTAGATGTGTGTGTGTGTGTGTGGGGATTGGTGGTCCCAAAAAAGAGATTAAAGTGTATACGATCTTTCTCGCTGTGTATATCGTTTATTTAGCCGTCTCTGTCAGTTGGGCTAGGAGGCGTTGCCTTGACTTCTTGTCGCGGGCTCTGTTGTGCCAGAATGATTGAGGCGTTTATATAATCCGTTTGTCATGGCCTTTGACAAAAGCTAATTGTCGCTAGTGTTGGGCGTAAGGCTGTCTGTGTGTGTGTGTGTGTGTGTGCGGATGTGGGTGTTTGTCCACGTCCATGGAAAAGGACTCGCAAATGGTTTTATTGTGACATTTCATTTTTACGCCCTGTGAATGCAGATGGTCTTGATTAATTATCGCCAAACTGTCGAGCTGACGGCTCTGGTAAAGTAAAGAGTTGGCTGCCTGATTTTGGCGTTCTGCGACAGTAGACAGCAAATGTGCCCGATGTGGGTTATCCATGGCAATGCCAACATCCAAATATACACCCACACCCACACGCACACCCATACAGAAACGTAGTTATATATGTCTGTATGTGTTATATTTGAGTGAGCTATACTTGCAACTTGTTGTTGCGAGAGCGGGAGTTCACGGCGTGTCAGCGATAATCAGTTGGCAACAAAGTTTTAAGCGTGAACTCAACCGCAATTTCCGCCTCTACAAGATAAACGACGCGTCGTCAGCGGCAACTCCGGCGCCAGGAATAGTCGCGTGCGATTGGGATTTACGTCCAGGGCCCACGTACAATTGTTTACCAAACATAATTTATTCAAAATGAACATTTAAATAGGTGCCTGTCGCTGAATATTCATGTAAATTTAAACATGAAATCATTCGATGCGATTGAGCGTCCAAAGTGTTGCACTTGGTTACATTTTTCCCACATTTGGGGTCAATTATAATCACGCATCTGCTTAACTGGGCCACGACTCACGACCTTCAGTCAGAAAAGCAGCCAGTTCCTTATTCTACATACACAAATACATGCATACATACATATCATTAAAACTGCATGCAGCATAAGTGCATTTTCTTCAATCAGGGCGTATATCTGGTCAATCGCAATTAAAATCCGCATTCCACACATAACGTATTCACAATTGCCAACGTATTTCGAATTTCAGATAGTAAAATTTCAATCAGACATAACACCGCATCGATTTAATGGATGATGCTCAATCGGGCCAACGACACAAATAAACAGTCCAAGGGCTTGGCCTCAGGTTCAACACATACATATACGTGAATATATATATATATTTATTGGGCGTTCGGACGTATGGGCATGTTAACCTTTAACCGGTCGATCTGCGTCTGACACTGTCCGTCTGTCGTGGAATATATTTATCTTGGTCTTATGCAAATGCCCGGGAGCGTCTGCTTATCATGAGAATCTGCTGCTTAGACATGATTTCAATTCATTTTCTGGACACTCCTCACTACGCACACTCACATACATATATTACACAAATACTGGGAAGTACAGACGTGCATAGTTATGCTTAGTTGTGGCAACAACGTGTGCGTAAGTAGTACTTATTGGTAAACAGTTATTTTGAGAGGCAGCCACATTAGCAATAACCGGAATCTGGCCTAGAGAAACGTGCATATTTACAGCCAGACCTCAGCAGATAAGCATTTAGTTTAATTACATTTATTTATGCATATGTTTGAGGGCTTTAGATGTGATTATCCTATACATTCGGAAGCGTATTTACATATTTCTACAGTTTATTGTATTACTAAAAGCATGTTTCTTTGCAGCAAAATCACATATCCTTTGCGATAAACTTATTGAATTGCCAAAGGTGTTCAATGCGTATTACAAATGAGTTGTTCAAAGACGGATAACATTTCAGTGCATGTTCATATATGCTTTATGTATGCATATTCAAATAATAGACAAAGTGCAATTGGAAAATGACGCACACAATGTTTGATCTAAGAAATCTCGTGTTGAGTTAGGTTCAATGTTACATGTATATGGGTAATTTCACTATTTATATTAAATACTTAACCATCTTGTGGCTGAAAAAGGCCAACAATTGGGGAAAACAAAAACAAGCCACAAGAGCTTGTCTCGACAATCTATTGTTGTCAAAAGTTACATAAATTAGAATCAAATTAGGTCTTCAAGGCGTCTATGGCAGGCAATAGTGACCGTTATCGCATGTGTTGCGCATTTTCGTATAAGAATTGTTAAATTGTCTCTCTCTGCCTTTGGCGCTCGCTTTTCAACATTTCGCATAGTGTTTGTTCTTAGCAACATGCTGCTAGCAACATTTACAGCAACAGAGAGAGACAGAGAGAAGCAAATGCCAAGAAGCCACACATTTTGCTCACAGGCAGCATTTTTTTGTATTTAACAGAAATATGAATATACGCAGTGCAACAAAATAAACTATTTTCGTAACCTAACAATTTAAATTTGGTTATGTTATTTGTATATAAATACATACATATATGTACGTATTTTCGCACTTTACCAAGTTCTTATTTCTGAAGTACTTATATATGTTTTATTAATGTATTTATACATACATACATATATTATATTGAAGGTGGGAGGTGAGAGGGTTACTCATAGGGCTTGTGAACATTATTTGTGCTTTTGCAGATTCGCCAAGTTGGCAATTTGCTTAAAAAACTAGCACACATAAAGCAAGTAATACGACAAATTATTCCAAATTTCATTTAAACAATTAAAGATTATAAGTAAGTGATTACATATTATCCTGAATCACATCTCCCCCTATTTCAATACAACACTCAAACGATCTCGTCTTATCACTCCGGGATCATAACAAACTCTATCAACATATCGTCGCTTCATTGTTGTTGAGGGTTGAAAACATTCGGCTGACTTTCGGCCCGAGCGAGAGAGGAAGAGAGAGCGCCAACAGAGCGCAGGCAAGTTTGTTGCTACTTATTATCGTGCGCCTCGCAGTGCCTGTTCGGGAGTCAAGCGCGCCAGTCTAACGGGACCAGTGGATACGTAAACATCGGCGCGCGGTTGTTGCTGCTCTGATTCATGTGTTCGTAATGGGTGCCCGACACCCCCACCTCTCGTTCTGTAAGTGTCGAATGTCTGGTGGTGCTCTGCTGGTTTTTTTGCTGCTGCTGCTACTGCTGCCGCTGCTGATGCCGCTGTTGGCGTGACATCAGCATCACCACAGATGCTGTTGACACGTTCGAAGGCCATCGCCAATGGCTGCCGCACCGGGGATGCCAAAGCTCGTGAATGTTCGGCGTTTTTGGCAAGCAACGCGTTGCGGTCGCGAATTTGAAAAGTGGAGCGCCAAAATGCCGTGAGAGCTGCGTATCCGTGCCCGTCTCCTTCTCCGTCTATGCCTCAGTGTCCGTCTCTATCTCCGTTTCCCCGTGCCGGAGTCGCCTAAAATCCTGCCAATAATCGCATTGCGGCAACTGCCGCCGTTCCGTGTGCCTTGCCGCGTTATTTGTGCAATGCGTATAAAATATGCCACTCGGCCCAGTGGAAACGTGCTAATTATAATATGTTAATGTGTGTGCCAACGACAGAAAGTGCAACTTGTGAAATTGGCCAAAAATTGTGCGACCGCAGCTCGGAGGTGTCCACGTCGACTGAGGCGGCGGTGCAAATACTGTCGGTGGCTCAGGCAACGGCGGCGGCGGCTGCGGCGGACGGTGTATAAATATTTGGCACACACCGAGCGAGCACCAAGCGTCGAGCCAAAGCCGACAAAACGAAAGCAACAAAAGCAATTATGCAAATATTGCAAAAATAACGGCAACAGAATGTTTCACTCTGCAAGTGTGCGTGAATGTGTGCGAGAGTCTGTCTGAATGTGTGCGTGTGTGTGAGTGTGTGCTCTTATATGCGTTAGCCAACTCAAATTGATTAGCATAAGCGGATGCGGCATTGGTCCTGCCTGTTTTGCTTCCTTTTCCCACGCACTTTAGCCAAATTGTATATGCAATTCCCACACACTCACACACACAGCTGTTTATGTGTGTGTGTGTGTGTGTGTGCGTGGATTCTGGTGTGTTATTGCGATGTGCACAATTAGTGCCAAAGTCCACAAAATCGACTAATCAAACAAAGGGACGGCAACGGCGGAAAACTCAAATTAAATTGGGGGGATTTTTCACGCCTCTGCTGACGTCGCCGGCGACGACGAGGACGATGACGACGCCGACGGCGTCTGCGTTACTTTGCCGGGCCGCATCATTCGCAAAATACGCGCGTAATCTATTTTCATCGCTCGACTTATTTTAATCTAGATGCGGCCCTCCACACTCTGGCCGGGTGCTTACCCCAAAGGAGCTCTTCTGGCTGTCTCAATCTCAGTTTCACTGTGCACACTGCAGCAGGACGGGCTCCCTCCTCCGTCCCGTCGTCCCACAGTCCCGCCGTCTGGCTGCGGCATCAATTCGAGGCTTTGCATTCTCGGTTGCGAAATTAAAAGTAATTTTTAAGGATTTATCACGGATTTGCAGTATCATCGTCGGCATCCTGACTGTGCAAAATTTTTTTTTATACGGTTTTTGGATTCAGATTATAAATTGATATTAATACGCGTAATTTACATTGCTGCCACTTACCGCAGTCGCTGCGGCACTGCCACTCGAGGCTCTCTCTGTCATGTCTCCGTCTCCGTCTCCGTCTCTGTCACTGTCACAAACCCGCCACCCAGTCAGCCCCGCCCTGCCCAGCCCCCACGCTGAATTTATCGCGGCCAGCATCAGTTTCGAGTTGCGCGTGTAATTAAATTATCGCAAGTTTATCGCGGAAGATGAGCAAGTATCCACCAGATAATGGGCGGTTAGCTGCTAAGCCGAAACCCGAAATGCCTGGGCTTCGGTGGAATCTCAGTTAGAACTGAGTTAATTACGTGCTTAGATTTTTAGCAAGTTCAACTTAATTATAGCCTGCTTCCTCGGACGAACTTTTCACGGACGCACAAGCAATCTGCAGCTAAACGGCAACATGCAACTATAAAATGCTGTTTCAATTCAAACGGGGTCAAAAGTTTGGCGCAAACCCTTATGACTTCCTTGCAACTCGCACATACACACTCACACATATATCACTGCGAACAGCTAATGGCAGTCAGCTGGATTAACGAGCTCGAGTACGCATGAGATCCGATTTGAGAGTTAGGAAACGATTATGAATGATTTGGCTTCCTGGCAACCCAGCGTATATTACAAGAGATATATAGTATATGGGAAAATCAGGCTTAAATTTAAGCACAACTCTGCGCATTTTCCAATGCCAACATTTATGCGAATAAATAAATCCATGTCCCTTTAAGCCAAATGGTTTGAAATAGCGCTTGGCAATATTTTCAAGGCATATGCATATTCGCATTTATTATTAAATTTTTAATAACTGAAAATGTGAAAAACCACTTTTACGTGGTATATTTTTTTGCTCTCTTGCGAAAGGCGATTTAACCTCTGCACAATGCTTACGTTTGTACAAATACAAATCTTATACCCTGTACCTGGGAGAAGAACGGGCTTCAGCATGTGTCAAGTTGAATTTGAGAGAGAAAAAGGATACCTCAAGGCTTCTTGAGGCTTCTTGATCAGCATCGAGATTCTAGGCAATATATTCAAGTCATTTGATCCATCTGCTTACAGACAGCACATTTTTTGTACAATTTTGTAAACAGCCCTAAGTTAATTTTACTTTGTGTACAGGGTATCTGCCAACGGGCACCATCGACTACAGATTATTACTTGCTTTCTTTTATTTATTTACTTTATCCTTTCGCATTGTTTTTCTTTTGCTGTACATTTGCGAATGGTTTATTTACATTATTTTTATTTTTTAATACACACTGTATTTGCGTTCCGGGCAAAGGAGTCGACTTCCAGTTTCATTGGATGTCTGGCGGCCATTTATACATTTTTCCGGTTTTCACTTGGCTTGCACTTTTCCCCGTTTCCCATTTCTCCCTCACCACGTTTCTCGTTTTGCTTTCTTTATTATTATTAAACCAAAATAAATTGTTCGATTGTTTGCTCAACAGAGTGTTACTTTTTAAAGGCCTCCAGTGCGGGCCACCAACCCGCCTTCTCCCCCCAAAAGCGGTTTATTGGCAAAATGGGCATAGAAATATGGTGTTCCCTTTGGCAGACGTGCACCCGTAGTATTTCGCATCACATCGAACACATGTTATACTTTCTTTTTGTTTTCGTAAGCAGTTTCTTGTCCTCTTCCATTTCTATGGCTCCGGTCCGGGTTTCGGTTTCGATTTCGGTCCCGAAGCCGGTTCTGGTTCTGGCCCGGTCCCGATGCTGGCCCACTCCTAACAATCACAATCAGACCCTGCCGTCGCGACGGCTTGTTTGCTTGTTTGCACATTCTTAACTGGCAATCAGGAGCTGCCTATCCCACCTCCAAATTGTAAGCCCACAAGCGCCCAGACTCTGTGTGAGTGTGATTGTTGTAGAACTTTTGTCATTTTGCTAATTTACCATTATTTACTTGTTGTTTGTTTGGCATCAGCCCAAAGAATATTCTCTGCATAATTGAGGGAATATGTCACAGACAACTATGCAACAGCTCAGGCATTACTCGAATATACACGAATACAGGCCAAATATTGCTTAATAAGGCCAATGGAACATAATGTAATTGTAGTTGAAATGTTGTTATATCTAAATTTATATATCCGCAGACTCTTGAGGGTCCTGGGCAAGAGCACAGCCCACATTTTAAGCTTTAATTAAGTAAAATCAATTCCACTTGACTTTTGGCCGCGACTGCGAATTTGATGCTGTAATCAGCTATTTATTTTTGGAGCTCTACTAATATTTTATTAACGCCTCATGCGGCATGTCAGCATCCGCATCCGCAACAACAACAGCAGCTGCAGCAGGAGGAGAATCTCAGCGAAACGGTTTCGTATCGGCTTGTGTGCGTGTGTGTGTGTGGGTGCGTGAGGGAGTGTGTCGGCTGGTGTGTGTGTGTGTGTGTGTGTGTATTGAGTCAACTTAACTAGGTCAGGGGATTAACTTTGTTAATAATAAAACACATAATATCGCTCCTGCAGTTGCCGTGAACGAATTTCTTTGCTTTAAATAGCAGCTGGCTTTAAAATGTTCGTTAAGCGATGCGCGCCAGTGTAAAAGGTGGACAGTCCTTGGGTTGGTTGAGGAAAGCGGAGCGGGGGGTGTGTTTGCGGGTCGCTCTGATTTCGCTCGCAACGCCGAGCTTTCGACTGTGGCGTTCGCTGGCAAGGAATCTCCTGAATTATTTATGACAATTAAGTTGTAATTTCATTTTATTGCCTTCAACAGAGCCAACATTTCACCGCCGGCGTTCGCTTGCCACGTCCTGCTACCCACAACGGAGCTGGCAGCTCGTGGGCCTCCGTCTCGGTCTCGGTCTTGGCCTCGGCTCGTATTCGAATATGTAGTAGTTCGGTTCCTCCAACTTGCGACTCTACGGACTTGCTTCTTTGTTCTTTCGTCATTTGACGCAGCTGCGCAGCATCCGCATGACCATCGCCTCACGCCATCCTCTGGCCATTCTGGGCCCCTTTCATTTTACTTTCGCCAAATGCCATCGTAAAGCGGAAAATGTATGTTTTTGCCCTTGATACCACGAACCACTTTTTGTTAAGTTTCACTCGTTTGTTCTCTTCTTTTATTCTATTTTATTTTATTTTATTTTGTGGCTCACGCACTTTATTATATGTACATACGTGCGCGTATATTCTCATATAATATGTTAGGTGTTGCAAAGCCCTTCTGCACTTCTCTGGAAAATATCAGGAACAGGTGCTTCCATTGTTGGCAAAAATAACATTCTGGTGCACATGTTAAGATGGGTTTTCATATTTAACAAATGTTATTTGCCTGGCTTTCTAATAATTAAATAGATTTTTTGGAGCTGGGCTGCAGTAAAAACCAAAAACCAAAACCAAATAATTTAATTACAATTGTTTGTAAATTCAGTTAAGCTGTTTGCTACCTTTATTGAAATATCCTGCCAAGGCCCAGCGAGAGATTAATGTTGAGCCTGTGCATAAAAAGAATACGGTTCAAGTAATAAAGGACAAAAGCAATTGTGGTCAGCGTGACTGGCCTAACTATGCCCTCATCAAGCATGAGCCCGGGCCTCTAGGCCGCATTTAATATGCCCCATATTCAACACAGTGCAGATGCTCCGAGATTTGCACGAACCCTGATCAATTATTTAGTGAATGAAGACACCAGCCTCGTCCATGTCTTGTACTTGTCACGTCGCTGTTTTGTGATTTTTGGCTGGGTGTAGAGCATGTAGCAAAGATTATTTAATAACAGATTCTAGTTACCAATGAAAGTTGTACGAGACCCGCTAACCAAATTAGTCAGAGTTCTTGCTCTGCCATTCCATAACGCCGGGGCACAGCGGTGCCCGACTGGGCTGAGCGTGCTCTGTTCTGTGCGATTTAATAGGCACACAGCTGGGACCCAAGTTGCATCAAGCGACTTCTTGAGCCGGGAAGCCATTGCACTGTCAAAAGTTTTTGACACGTACAACGACTAAACTTTTCAGCGGTGGGCACGACATAAATAAACACGCCCTTGTCGTTCCAACCGGCCATGCCTCACGCCCACGCCCATGAAGGGGAGGGGCCGGGATAGGGACTCGTATAGGCAGAGGGAACTGTAGAGCGACCGAAACGTGACCAGCAGCTGGCCAGCGGTAGCCCACGTGGCCAATTGCCTGGGCCTGTTTTGTCCGATTTGTCCTTTGATGCTGCTTCGCTCGTAAATTTTTCAACAAGTTTTTATTATGGTTGCGTGTCCTTGCAAAAAAAAAACCAAAAAAAAACCAACTCCCCAACTCACAGACCCACACACACACACATGCACACACACACGTCTGTTTTCGTGATTGCGAGGGGCTTTTTACTTTATTTATTTAATAAAATTTAGGAATACGGCTGGAAATAATTTATGGCGCTGGAATTTGCACATTAATCCTGCGAAATGTTGCCAAATTATTGAGCCAATAAATATTTACCTTGCGCACTGCCCAAAAGCCCCTCGCAACCTGACCCACCTTTCTCCCACTCACTCTCGCTCTCGGCCGCACCAAAACTTTTCAATCCCCGTTGGTTGAGCTGACGTTAAGCCATAATTTTGATTTAGACCTCCGAAAGCTGCTTGAGATTCCTTAAGCGTGCATTTATCTCTTTCGAGCACTGGTGTCGACATCCGAAAACCGAGAACCGAGAACCGACAAGGCAAAGGGTTCCACAATCTGAAACTACGAAAATTACCATATTCAGGATCCTATCTGCCAAGGCCATCAATCACAAATGTGAATATGAATTTTGTATTTTGAGGCAATTTGGCCAGTTGCAGATTTATGTGCACGCTGCTTCCTCCCATTTTCAATGTCTGGCAGCTGTCGACAGACACGGTAAATCGGGTTTAATCTAACTGCATTGTTTGCTCCCACATAAGTTAATAACGTGAATGCTTACCAGGGCCTAGGACCAATTTGCAATGAATTTGCAATAGTATTCATTTGGAGCTGAGCGATTTGGCTGAATTATGTGTGCGAGCGCAATTCAAACACAGTGCTGGCCAGCTCTAATTCAAATTTACAGTCATATCGAGAGGAATCTAGCAATTTTGCAAATTATTCAACAGGCATAAAACGTATTTGCAACTGGTTACGGCCAAAACCGCTGATGAATTTCACAGCGGGTGGCATGTTCTGTATTTTTGCATTTTGCGGTGAGCTAGTCGTGGACGTGATGTGTTGAAAGCGCGCAATTGATTTCATTTGGTTTTCGTACAAATCGCAAAAAACAGGCTGTTTGATATTTCCATGGAATTTCGGTGGTCGCGGATAAGTTCACTGACCGACAAATTTCAATATGAATTCAATTTTCCGCTAAATTGAACTGAGCACAAAAGATGAGCAAATTACGAGCGCAACTTTACGCTTAAATAAATTCGAATAAATAACTGTACGCAACTCAACTTGTTAGTGGCAACAGCTAACATCCGTCTAGTAGGTGCCCCCGCCCCCGCTTGCCCCGAAAGCGACCAACATCCGACCCCACCTTTTAAAATCAGTCGACCCTCGAGCTGCCAGCCCAGCTTGCGGCGGCGGATGCTGGCCAAGATGAAAGTTAAAATATTCGTATATATTAATTTCTATAGCAAAAAGAAAAACATCGAAAAGCCATAAACCAAAGTTCGGCAGAAAGTTCATCATCATGAGTGGTGGCTGCAGCAACCACTACAAAACCTTCAACAAGCAGGCAAAAGCATAAGCAAAAGCAAAAACAACTAAAACGTCTGCGACGGCACGTCAGAAACCGACAGATTCAGATACAGATACAAAAGCAACTCAAAGACAAGCGTCTACAGCGATGCCGGCGTCGACGTCAACGCTGGCCACTGCCGATGCTGCCGACGCCGATGCTGCCGAACCCGATGCTGATGCCTTTGCCGTTGCCGATGCCGATGCAGTCCCTAGAAGGATGTATAATGGTGTCACTAGTAGAACCAGCGGCAACAGAGGGTCTATGGTGTTGGTTATGCGGTGTGCGGCTTGGGCAGGGCAAGCACTTTCCGCTCAGTTTGCAAAATATGAAGTTTGCTTTTGAAAGTTTGCGGTTTTTGGGTTCCTTGCAGGCGAACAATAAGAAAACGTCGAGAAATACATTAAGCCAACATAAAGAAGCATTTTTCAGCCAAGCGGGGCAGCTAAACATATGCACGTGTGTGTGTGTGACTGCGAGTGAGTGCTTAAGTGTGTGTCTGCGTGTGTGTGTGTGTGTGTGTGTGTGTGCTTTCAGCTGGCGTATACACTCATAGCTCTCAGGATAACAAGGGATTTGTTTGGTCTCTACACGCTTAATACTCAACCCGATACGGAACTTGCATCCCAGCCCCTTTCGCTAGGTTCAGCTTTCATCAGTCAGTGCTCACCCGTCACTCCAGCGCGCCAGCATCAGCTTTCCGGCATGGTTATGTCGGTGGTGCCGTCCGAAAGTGTCAGTTAATGAATGTTTTGTCGTACTACTCGCATCTTTTACAGGCAACCAAAGCCCCAGCTCGAAGCCTCCAAAACAGACCCAAAACAGCAAATACACATCCTTGCATTTTGTGGTTAGTGTGCTTTTTTGTAAATTTTGGGTGCCTTTGTGATTGTGTTGTGTGTGCGTGTGCGTGTATGGGTGTGCGTGTATGTGTTTAAAGGGAAGCCCATTACTCATCTCGTATGGGTTGCTGGCTTGCCGCACATCAATGTTGAAATTTCATGGATAAATGAACACAATTGATACCTTTTGTGTACTTTTAATCTAGCCAGAACGCCTCTGGCTCACTTGTTTGCCAAATCTATGAAAGTCGATCACTATAGAAACTGCACTGCATGGGAAATCCGGAAAGAACAATTTGATAAGCTCCCCCTAACGTTGGCAGCTGACAAAATAAAAAAAAATCGCAGCATGCGTGCATTTGTATTTGGTTTACTCTCTGCACTAAAAACAGGAAAATTTAAAAACTATAGTTAAAAATATGCTTTACTTGGCTCCAAAAATAACACCATTCAGTGGCTTCTATATAACACAGTGTACGTTTGAGAAGCATGGAGCTTTGGACATAAAAAAACAAACCGTTTATTATTCATTTAAATGCTGACTGTATCAAATTTCTTACTTAACAAACGCACAAGAAGTTCAGAACTTGAGTTGTACGGTGACATGTTTGACATGAGGATAATTTAGTACAATTTGAGTTTTTATGTTAATATTTAAAGAAATTGTACTTATTTCTCTGAACAACCCACGGTGCCATTAAAGAAATTAATTAGTACCCTTAGGAAAACGTGCTTTTGCGATTCGCCATCAAATTAGAAGCAGGGTTTGCTTAGAGGTTTTCCAAATTTAAGCCGAACATTAATATTGTATGAGGAAACCAGCCCAAGGGGATTAGAGCGAAAGTGTCAGAAACAAGAGGATTTTGCCAATAATCCCGCCTCTATTTGCTGTTATATTTTTGTTTGTGTTTCGGTTTTCTGGGCGTGATTAAATAAAAAGTTTACAAATTGTTAACCGAACTAATTAATTGTGATTTCAGTGGCGAATTTGTTTTAATTTAAAATTAATATCGAATTCAATAAATAACCTCAAGCCCAATTAAGACGCGGCGCGCAATTGAAAAAATAAATAATTAATAATTTAATAATTTGTTTCATCGTTAGCAAATAAAAAATGGTCAAAGCGTACGTGTGGGTGCTGGTTTTTTGTTCAAATAATCGACTTATCAGTTACGCGTAATGAAATTTTGTTTTTATCTACAATGAACGCACATTGTGCAGTTATAAATTAATAAAGAAAAAAAAATACATGAAAAAATGGCAAAAGGATATTAATTGTTTTGCCTGCTGAACAAATAACTACCAACAAACAGAACACAATTTAAAACACAGCAAGGACAATAAAGAAATCGAAAACTGAAGCGGTATAATTTCAGCTATAAACCAAGTAAAATTTAATGGCACGAAAGCAAAATTGAATAGTTCATAAAACAAAGTGTTATTCATTTCAACTTCCCTCCCAAGCAGATGGTTTGATCGATGCGGCGTTGACAATGCCATGAATACGAACATGAGTATGAATGGGTATATGAATATGAACATGAATGCGAAAATATTGACCAGCCGTAAGAGCCATCACATTCGACGCCACTGATGATAACAATAAATATGAAAATTCCGAAAAATGCAAATTGCCAAATCTGAGGACGCGCAATAAAATCGACCATAAAGAACATCAAATCAACAGCAGACGCTAAACAGCGATAACATTGGCCAATACCGAGTCTGAGCCGACGACAGCAACAGCAGCAATAATAACAACAAAAAACAGCAACAACAACAATACAACATAAACTCTGGCCGGTGGCAATGGCCGAGCCGGAGCCCAATCCTGCACAGCATCTGCAACGGCAGCGCCAACCCCGACCACAGATTCAACCTAGCAAATGTCGGCACGTGCGCAGCCAGTGCTCCTGGGGCCATAGCTGGAGCAGAGTCGCCTGGCTGCTAGCTGCTGTATGCCTGCTGACGCGGCCCGTCATGCCGGAAGTTATTTATCGAGTTGATCCTTTGGGTAAATGTTTTGTTTTATTTTTCCTTCTCTTTTTTTTTTTTCTTTGTACATTTCAGCCACATCTACATGTAGAAACCCGCGTTGGTTTTGCGTTTTATCTGCAGCAATAACCGTCCCCTGTCGTCGCTACCCACCCCTCCGCCCCACGAAGTGGGTCCTGTGACGCTTTTTAGCTAATGCCCGGCAAATGCAGGCGCCAACCCCCGCTGCCGTAAAAACTCAGCTGGCGCTTTTTCCGCCATGTTGCCCTATTTGCCAAATACGTATATATATATATATATATGTTAAGTGTGTATGTATTTGTGTATAAATCATAATTAAGCACAAATATACACTCAAAGTGGCTGTTTATGGCTTTTATGTATTCTCCGCTGTCCAGTTTCAGTTCAGAGCGGCCCCCAAATACTTGCTACGGACAAAGTTTCACAAATGATCCGAAAAGCGAGAGCGACCAAATATTTATGTTCGTCATTAATGATTAATAGGGTAGCCAAAACAAACATTCATAAATTAAACCACATTAATTAACTGCCCGTCACGGCTAGATACTCGAATAGAGATGCTGCCAATCCAAGTTCCATTGTCATGAATCTTGAATCATGACCATGGACTACTTAGCGGCTACTTACATACATATATGCATCACACTCAATTGTACATATATGTATGTAATCTTTATTAGCATGTCCCATCGATTTCACAGAATGTTTAATTTTGAATTGGTTTTATATCTATTCATAGCTTTCTATACAAACACTCGGTTAGCTAGTTGCGTGGGATACTTTTTGATAAAAGATTCTTTTTGCGCTGTCCTGGCGAAAGATGACTCATTGCCGCCCTGTCAGCAGCTCTCAATATTCGATGAATTTATTGATTATATCCATCGTCAGATTGAAAATATTTTCAAAAATTAATTGCCATATTCGCCGCAATCATTTTTTTCTATTTTTTTCCCCATACATTTTACATACTACGACGCTTTTACACTCTAACAGACTTAATTAAATTCAAATATTTTTTTAAACTGCGCATTCGAGCTAGCACATATCTCTTATACGATTTGACATGTTTGTATAAGAGTGCAGAAACAACCTTCGACAGCGCTTTAAAAAAGGGAATCCTCACAAATTCTGCGCTCATATGCGCACATCCCCATGAACTTGGCTACTCGTGTAATTAATAAATATTTTTCCAAACTTTCTTTTCAAGTTCTTAACGGTCGGGGTCATTAATTTCAAGGCCGAGGTAGATAAACATGTCGGCTTTACCAACTTGGTCGAAACTTTCGACACAGAAGCGGCTACAACTCAGCCAACTGCGCTCCACCATTAAATGGGGCGTCGTTAATAGCACTTGCTATAAATATTCAATTGCTGTGTTTGTGCCTTATTTTAATATTTTTGGTTGGATAACGCGCACAAGCACATCAGTCTGGTACATATGCTAAGTCCCGCCCACCTAATCATAGAGTCAACCGTAAACCACGTTTCTAGGCAGAGAGCTAGAGTCTGTGTTTGGGTCGCGTACTGTGACTGCGGCTGGCGCCTTGGCTCGCGTTGATAACGGAAACTTTCACGGCCTACGCGGTTGTTTCACATTTCCCCGAGTCGGTTCACATTAAGATGTGCTTTAATCTACCATCTTAGCACAGGCCGTGGAGCAGCAACCTGGGGAGCAGCAGAGGAATGTTGTCGTCCTTGTGCCTTTGTCATATGCGATGCCTTTTAGTGTCTTGCTGGAGCTGTAAAATTTAACTGGAGGCGACAGGATACTGAGCACTTGCACACGAGTGACTCCGCAGGCTCTGACAATGGCTGAGTAGGCGGCACCGTCTTCACTTCTCAGACGTTTTAACTCTATGGGCACATACTCACAACAGAAGCCGCAGGGTCGTTAATACTCTTGTTTTTCCATTTTTCATACCCTGTATGCAAGAGAGAAGGTCAAGTAGGGTATGCTGGCATAATCTTCATAAGATATGTACACTTATATGAAACCCAGCAAAAAGAAAACAAAAATAGAATATATACTTTTTCTTTTTTTTTTTTTTTTTGTTTACTTACTTTTTACTTTTCTTTTTCTGCCCTACTTTTTCTCTTCTGCCCTATTTGTTTTTTCTGTACAAAAGTTTGTACAGAGTATCTCACGCCCATGCTTATTTTTTGTGTTCTCGAAATAACACTTGTGTTTGGCTGGCTGCGGTGGCGGTCGGCGTTTGCTCGACTAAACAACCAGGTAAATGCTTGCCAAAATTATGAAAAGTGAAAGAGTTATTATCATGTCGCATAAATTTGCATGAGACGTCCACGTGGAGTGCCTGCCGGGACAAGGCCTAAAGACGAGAGGTCCCATCAGGCAGACGTCGCACAGCTTCTGATTTAGTAGGATATAAACTTGCACACGTGTAATGCGTGCTTTGTGCCCAGTTACTAGTGCCTGGGGACTGATGCTGTTACTCCATTCCTCTAACGACCACATCCGGTTGCCAATTGCAATTATTCAGATGCTCAAAGGGAGCTGCTGCGCTCAAAGCTAATAATTAAAGCTCGTTCAAATTGGCAAGTTGAAAGTGAAATATGGCTGAGAGCACAGAAATAATATTCTGATTTTCACTCAAAGCCACATTTTTTCAGCAACAGACAAAGAAAGTATTCGTCTGGTATGCATGCCCTGTTAAATTGTGTTACAAAATTGTTTCAGTTTTGACAACTACTATGTATATCCGAAAAATATGGCATTGCAATTGTTGCTTCTGACTTTTACACTTTTAGACACAGTTCGAACTGCAACATTTCATTGTGACTCTCACGTCGAAAAATGGTATCCAATAATAGAAATACTGGATGAAAGCATACTGGTATATTATATTCATGCGTGTGCAAGTACATCTATGTAACACATGTGTTACATTTACATACACTCTGCTCCAGTTCGCATTTTATACTCGTACTCGTAACACACATTGTCAATTCCCCGTCCCCCTCCTACGCCCCGCCCACGCGCTAGCCCCTTTTTGGCAACCATTGTAAGGCATTTGTTTTGTAGTGTAAACACTTTCTCATGCATACACACATTTTCGCACACATTCACACACACACACAGACAGGCAGGCATACACGTAAACAATTTGGGTAATGAAGTCAGTGGCTCAGAGGATGCCCCATCACCGTTGTCGCCTCTAAAGTGGATAAGAGAAATGTACAATAAACAGAAACAAATAGCACACAATTTTTTCCGCTGCCGAGTGCTACGAAAAGAAATGTTGGGAAATAATTTCACATGAAATTGAATGTCTGAGTTTGCTTAGGTGTCAAGTGTCAGTTAAGTTGAAGACTGAACGATTGCATAATGGAAATTCAATTTACTTCGAGACTATTTTTCCATCAGACACTGTGGCATTACCTTGCCACACTTCACTGCGCAATTTGATTCCGTTTAACGTTCATAACAAATACAATTATTTTTGTAATTTTTTCTATTTTTTAACCGCTGATAAAGTTCCAAATTCACACGCATTTCCAAAATTAAATTGAAATTAGTTACTTTAAATACATGCACAGAAAAAAGTTGGAAAATAGAAAATGTTTTGGCCTACCAAACTTATTGGCCTATTGAATTATGTATAGACTGATAGAGTTCTTAAATGTCAATTCCCTGAAAATAAATACACAACCAAATAATGAAAATTATTTTTATGGTTAATTAAATTGAATATATTTTAATACCCTAGTACTTTGAAATGACCTAATAAATGTTGCAAGAGGAAAATCCCAAAATATACTGATATACTCATATAATTTTATCTACGACTATAGCTTTTTTTTTAACTTGCGAATTCGAGTTATACAAATACTCTTTAAGTATACCTAGCCTTGATATACCTTTAAGGTTTCCCACTTTGGAATGCTTTGATTAAACTTCCATTGCGAATTTCTACATGTAGTATATTGCCTGTTTGCATTTGAAATGCGTTATATTTTTGTTCTACTTTCGCTTTGTGCTTCATTTATATATTAATGTAGCCCGATTTCGGCGTTGTTTGCTTTTAGCTCTCCTAGCGGCCACCTTGCGGACGTACCAGCGTGCCGGATGCGATTCAGAACAGCTGTCACTCAGCTGTCCACGTGGAACTAGCATTTCCATAGAGCTGGCCCAGTACGGACGAGCTGGCGGTAAGTTCCATTGTCACGTACGAATCAGCGAAGTGGATGTGGGATGGTTCGTGGAGACGGAGCTGGAGGTGGAGGTGTAGGAGGAGCTGGGTCCAGCGTCAAGTGAACTGAACAACGAATGGTCGGGCACTTGGACTGAAGCGACTGCCAATATCGCAATTGATTGATTGTTGCCTAAAGTTTGTCCGTTACACGCGTCGATTGTACGCATTGTGCTTTACTTATTTGTGTGCACGTGGCCATGTTTTGGCTCAATGTGTACTTGCCCACGCCCACACGAGTGGCAGATGTAGTATGCAAGCAAACAACCAGACAGCCACACAGACAATCACAATGCGAGCAAATCAGAATTGGACCGTGCTCCGCATACGCCCATATCAAGTATACGTACGTATGATTGACCGGGCCTGGTCGGGGGCAATTTTTGGATATGCTCGCCGATTGAGATGGTCGTCCGCAGCGTTTGCATTGAATGCTGCTTCTGCTTGGCACATGCCACATGGCACTCGACCTCCAGAACCACTCTGTGCCACTTCACTCCACTTCAGCCCACCCCACTTCGCACCACTTTAGTGTACTTCGGAAAATCGACTATGTCGACGACGAGGACGACAACGCTGACAAAAACGACACGTTCACAAAAAATTGCCCTCTCGTCTACTTGAACAGATTTATCCGACCACAGCTTGTGTCCGCCGGTCTCGCAAGAGGACCTCACCACGACCGGAAGTGCCGGCGATGCTGTCATCCACAGCGGCACAGAAATCGAAGTCAAACCGCCGGAAACGTGTACCGTAAGCGGATTACAGGTAAGCTGAATCAGTATAATTGCAATTCCATCATCGTCGCACTCAGCATCGAAAGAAGGCTCAGCCATGTTCAACATACAGCTGGACACACACCCACGCTTGTACGTATTCATATGCTATACATATAAATATATGGATACTTGTATACTCTCTGATACAGGAGCCACCTACCTCATATTGCAACGACGTCGGCTTCAACAGCTCAGGCCTTGCTACGGCTTACCTTTTTCGCCTAAATGTATTTTTCCCATTTTCCGCACGATTCCACAGTGTGCATTCAAAGACATTGCCATACATACATACGCGATAAAATGGCTCCCTTTTGGTCAACCCACACACAGTCACACACACTCACACCTAAAGACCACATACGAAAGCAGGCAGTTCAAATAAATCAGTGAAGTAGAACGATGCCATAAAAACAGCAATAATTCATAATGAAAATCGATTCGATTCACTTTGGCCAAGCTGAAGGCATAAATCATATACAATTTTTAGTTACTTACCCAGTCAAAGCTTAAACCGACCCAGTACAGTATTTAAAAGTGCACATACTCACATACATATATGCACGCCTATTCATGTATTTGTAAATCTATAGGCGAATTGGCTAAATCATCATAAGTACGAAATATTTGATTTTTCCGAAATTTCTATTTATGTTTGATGATTACGTCAAACATCCAATATATTCCAACTCGCATATTATGTAACCGGAAAATATTAGCAAATACAAATTTTAGCAACTGCTATCAGAAAATCAAGAGTCCTTGACTAGGACGTAACAAATATCGTTTTATTGAACTGCGGGGGCATAGAGAGCAAATTCCAACTGTGAAATGAAATCATACTACATATGGTTTCTAGGACTCTGCATACAAAATTTGATTCCCCAGGCCGACAGACTTATGGGTAAAAGTACGGGATACAAACCAGAGAAATTCCAAACATTGTTCACCATAATTTAGTTCAGTAAAAGTTGTTTGTACATGCATTTGTACGTGTGTGTGTGTGTATGCGTGAGAGTGTAGATGTGGGTGTGTATGTGTGTATAGTGCAATTTGTCACATTTATGAGGTCGTTTGGCATTCGAATTCAGCAATGTTGGTGGCTTTAGTGGAACCGATGTTGTGGTTAATTTTTCATTGAACCAGATCCTTCAAAAATAACTTGTGACGAAGCTGCACCCATTGAGTTTCATTGCGCACATCAATTCGCAGTAAGACGATGACTTTATGGGTGATGTGTGACATGCGGTCGAGAATAACCGCAACGAGCACAAGGGCCCACACACACTCCATTTCCGGCGATTCCTTAAAGCGGAACTGAATTGCGCCCGACCGCAAGCTCCGCCTTTGACTTATGGGCACACATTGCAGTAACGCCAGCTTAAGCTTACGCCAGTTTGCAGATGCGGTTGCGAGTGACCCGTAAAGCAGCGAGCAAGAGTACGCTCGAGCGAGTGTCGGAACAAGGGTAAACAAATTATTGCGAGACGAGAGCTCACAATCAGCACTCGTGCGTGGGACACACTTATCGACGTAGAGAAAATAGCTTCTTGGGGGTGGCAAAAACCTCAAAATGCAATTACGGCTGTGGCACGTTTCCGCTTGCGATACACAGAGTGCGGTTTTAAATATCCAACTAATTAAGTACAAATCAAAATATTTGGCAGAAGTCCAACTAAATACTTGTTAAGCTGCGTTAGTCTTCTGTCATGCATACCATATCCATTCTGTGCATAATATTGATAAGCTACAATTCCCTCAAATCGGCTTTATAATAAAGTTCGACAGTTTGAACTACATTTGATCTGCATACAAAATAAGAGATTAATTGAAATTCTTTATGTTAATTAATATTAAAATATTATCCAACTATTTATTATCACTTATTTCATTTAATCGAAAGTCAAACAATAAGTGTTTTTTTTTAATATTATTTCTGCGGTATTTGAATTCAACGCATCAAAGAGAGAGGATAACACGTTTATAGCTGCTTGTGTGTGAGCCATTCATTAAGTAATTGCACAATTAACACCACCCCGAACAATTTTAAGTTATTAATCTGATTATAATTATGCACCTATAAATTCTCACATGCAAAACAACTGCTCATTGCAATGTAAACAGTGCGAAGCTACACTAATAATATATGCAACATTATATATGCAACATTTGAGTGCTGTTGCCGCAGTGGAATTGTTAAATGCATTCATAGCTTAATCTTGTAGGCAGACAGAGATTTACGACTCGAGGGGGTGAGGTGGCGCCACGCCAGTGCCAGCAGCATCCTTTGTTGCATCCTTGCCGCCTGTTCGTTTTGCCGTTTGCCACTGACTCCAAGGATACGGCTGCATTTGCCATATGTGCCGAATAATCTATCAATAGCACCCTCATCGAACCTGCACACACGCCCTGCCATTACACATACTACAGATACCTACATACATACATATGTACTTACGGGCACTATATCTTACTGTCTGTATCTGCTTTCTTACAGTATGCCCTGCTGCAGACTGTGGTGGATGCCTGCCAAAAGAAGAGGCACTGCAAGTTCGCTGCGAATTCCAAAACGCACACAAGCGGAGATCCTTGCTCGGGCATACGAAAATTCGTCGAGATTGCCTACAAATGCCGTCCATGTAAGTATGCCAACCCTTTAGCAGGTCAGCCCACCGGCCCGCTTCTCCGTACAGTCTACGCTCAGTGGCATGGACTTTAAAAAAATATAATCGATGGGAGTAAAGCGCCGAGTGGGGGGCCTTAAGCAGCCCAGGTTATGTGCCGGGCGAGCATATTCTCGTTTTTGTCCTTGCCCCGTTAACCATGATATATTTTATTTGCGCAGCGGCAAAATAAATATTTGCCAGATGCAAAAGTGCCAAACATCAATTTAAGTTCTGAGGCAAACAAACAAATTTATTTTCACTAAAAGAAATAAGCCGTCATTTATTGAAGCCATGTGCAAATGATTTCCATGCCAGGCCAGGAAAAGTGCTCCGGGCTTGAGCCATAGTAATGAATATTACTTTAAAATAAATTTTGTATATTAATTACGGGTAAAAACAGATCTTTTCAGATAAATATTTCAAATGCATATGTACATATAAAATACGATTACATTCATTACATATGCATACAAAAGAAAAACAATTGGAGTAGCCAAATGTACGCTTTTGCATTAGTTCTGATAGCTTTAGGCTTGGAAGGGTTACAAAAGATTGCATAGGTCATCATTCAGCCCCTCTATATTAATTATTATCCAAGTCCAAGTCCGACGGACGCCAGAGCAAAAGGTGCTATCATAATATTCGTAAAGTCCTCGTCTCATGCTTCTGCCAGGGTGGCGAAAAAAACAAAATTAATGAGAATTTCAACTAAATAGAAGTTCGTGGCGATAAGAGTGGGCGGTACTGGGAACTGGGTCCCGGTTGGTTTGTGCTGCAAATTTAGCTAGAAGCATAATGAAAAATACAGCTGCGCTTTTGCTTTTGCGAACATTAAAAATAGTTGAATAAACTTTTTGCTGAGTTATTTGCATAGTTTTGCTCTGTGCATTTTTGCAATGGCATTGCCATCTTCTACTCTCCAGCTGGGCGAACGCCAATGGCGATTGGGCTAATGACACTCGATTATTTACGATCCGCTAAGCAATTCATGTTTAATCGCAATCACTCGGCAAACATAAGCCGATAAGCGAGCAGATGAACCACCTAAGTGGTGCCTCTCACACCAAGCCGACAATCGGCTTTCAGATTCACCTGAAACGCAGAACCTGCAAATGGCGTTGTCGTCGTTATTGCCTTTGTTGCCATACTGCTGCATGGGATGAAAGTCGTTAAACGAGTTCTTAATGCCCCGAACCGACAGTTCAATTCGACTATATTCAGATTCGAGCTGGCAGTGCAAAAGGCATTTCTGTGCATTCGTTGTAATTCTTTGGTAATTTGCGTCAGCCTTTTAGCCATTTCCAGCATTTTGCAGCTTTGCCAGAAATATTTTCTCTGGGCGTTTTTTTTTTTTTTGTGACAAGTGACGCAGATGTTATCTTGTTAAAAAGCACACAAACAAACCGAAGCAGTGAAACAAACTGGAGCGACACAAAGGAGGAGCGCCGCATTCAAATTAGAAAAAGGGAAATGCACAGCGGGTTGAAAAAGGGCAACTTGTACTTGGTCCGCATAGCTCAGTACATTGGACTAGCACATAGAGGGCAACGCGGGGCCATTGCTGAGGTAATATAATTAAGGAGAGCCGTTTTTTTTTTTTTCTAAATTGTCTGTTATCTTTTGCTCATTATGGACACCAGCGACAAGTAATAAAACTGCAAAGTACGAGTGGAAAACGTTGAAAAATTACGGCCTGGTTATGTGCGTGGGAGCTTCACCAAAAGCTACCCCAAGCCCAAGCCCAGCCAACGATGCCTGAGGCAAGCAATGCACAGCAGACCCAGCCGGCGTTGGGACTCGGGTTGGAGAGAAAGAACACCGTGCCAGACGGCACATTGTGGTCATAAAAATATGGCAATTTTCAACTTTTCTCACGTCTCTCCATAATAAAACGTGCACTCGCACTCTTAAAAGGAGCAGGGAATCACAGCACCCAATAGGACGGCCGTGCACGTACCATGCGGGAGTCACATCCAAAGGCCGGGGCTATGCAGTCAATGCCAGAGGCCCAGGCCTGTAAACATGCTATGCAAATATTTACCAAATTTATTAAAGTTCATCTCGGACCGTCCTCTCGCCACAGACATTCCTCTTCCTATGCATCAAACGATGTTCATATATAAATGTACGTATGTATCTGTGTACATATAACATATATATGCTATGCGAAACATTTTAAGGTGCCTGTCAAAGTGCACAGTAAGAAAAAGAGCGCCGGCAGCGCAATTCATAATTGCTTCAGCTTCGTCCTTTTCTGGGCGCTTTGAGCAAAACTATCAAAAGGAAACGAATATCTTGAAAATCTTACTCGACTGTGCTTCGACAATTGCAAATCTCGACTTGGCTGACTTCCAACAATTTGCTTTGTAAGCCGTAAATGTATGTACGTAGTGGTAAATTACTAAGCATATGTGCAATGCAGTGCATGGATGTACATGAATGTGTGTCGCCTCTGCCCTTAGATATTCAGGATACACACAGCCAAACACAGTAATTGGATATTCGACTTTTATTTGATAAATTACGACTTGGCGTATGAGTAATTATTTAGCGCAGCTTTGATACTAACAAAAATGCAATTCTACAGACTTTACAAAGGGTAAAGGACATTATTTGTAGTTTTTCGCAAAAGCAAAAAAGTAGCATTCTATTATATATAAAACTTGTGTCCTGACTTACCAAGTAACTGACTGACTGACTGATTGATGACATCGTGAGAACTAGGAAATTAAACTTTTCACAGTAATTACATTTTATGATATAGATCATTCTAAAAGTTTGCCTGGGTATTTTTTTAGTATACAAATTGGATATAAGTGTTGTATTATTTTATAAAATCCTTGCAAACCAAATATTGTGACATGTTTTATATATTACTACAATTCCATTCAGGTTAAAATAATCCAAATAACCGCTTTTGTGGTTCCTCATGTTATTTTATAAATTGTGTATTTGAAATGACAACTTATTTTGTAGGCTACATGTCGTATGGGTAATTAATAAAACTACAACGCAAGCATATGTACATATTTGTATAAAAATATAGTTTTTGTTTATTTTCACTTTACACATTGTTGTAAATTGAAAATGACATTTTAAGTTAGAGGCCGCAAGCCATGGGATATCATGTCCATATAGATACGTATACAGAAAAAAGTAATAATTAATCATAAATGCATTAACAAATCAGTTACATAGTCAAACAGCACAGCAAAAGAAAAGTTTGTAATGAAAAATCAAACCAACTTTATATATATACATATATAAACTTTATATATATGTACATATATTGCCTGGTTGTTGTGGCTGCAGCAGCTACAACTCGGAGTCTACAATTTCCAATAACCGCAATTAAATCATATTTTCATCGGAGCATCATGTTAAATGCTTTCCCTTATATTTTTGCATGTGTGCCCATCGATACAGACGAGTTCCGGAGCAAGTTGGCCTGCGAGAACGACAACATGCCACTGATGTGCAATCCGTACTCACGCATCGCCATCTACAGTGCTTCCTTTGGCCACACAGAACGGGAGAGTGTGCAGTGCGGTGGCCAGGGCGCTCCAGCTGGAAGTGTGATGATCAATCGGGAGGAGAACGGACAGCCCAGTAAGCTATGCTTCTATCCATAAGTGTATCCATATTTATCTATGTGTATCTTGCCTGATCAGCCTGCCTGGTGTCCTATGCCACCGAAACCGTGATGCAAATATGCCATGGCCGGCGACGCTGCTCGGTGACCGCGGATGCCGGCACCTTTGGTCGCCCCTGCAAGGCTGATGTGCGAATGTATCTGAAGGTCGTTTACACATGCAGTAAGTACCTGATTTTAGCCATAAATTGAGCTCTAAGGCAGCAAACTTTCTGCAGTACCACGCAAGGTGCTTAAAGATCGCTATGAAACGGCTGCGGAGTCAGATGAGCCGCAGCAAACCGATCTCGACTTGGACCAAGATGAGCTATACGACGAGGATCAGTTTTATAAGGAGTCCGAGGCCATACCGCCGGCACCCAAGCTGCAAGGCGCCAACGTGGGTCGCTCCTTCGACTTTGGCGCCAACAACGCTGCCGAAGAAACTTCCAGCACGCTCCTGCCCCCACTTCTGTCACGCAACGATGGCTCGTTAGAGGGTAAGTTGTGGGTCCATATGCCAATCAGTTTATGCTTTGCAGTTCAAGTCTGTCGTGCTGGGTCGGCCATTGGGTTGTGTAGAAACTAGCAGAGACTGCAGAAATTTGTGCTAGGGGCATCCTATAGATTCATAATTTGATTTCGCTTAACGTACTCGTATCACTTTTTAATGGAGTCTGTCGCGTCGGTATGCGCCATGTCTTTCACTTGCTACAAAGTGCCTCCACAGCGCATGGTGCATAAATATTTTAAGAGCACGCCCATCCGTCTTCATTAGCCAGCTGTGTTCCTGGCGTTTGAGCCATATAGCACGCTTAGCAGCCATCCAAGCTGTGCATTATCTAGTAACGTTAAGTAACGTCAAATCGTGTTTGCTGTCGACGGTGCGCCTGGGATATTCGCGTTTGCCGTTGATGGATGGGAGGCCGCCAGACTCTCAGGGCCTTTACAACAACAACAAAAAAATGCTCGTCCATTGCCACATTTCGCAGAGCGACTACAGTCATCTGTGCGGCTCCTAAGCCGCATAAAAGAGTCATTCAACCATCAATTGCCGACTGAGATGGCCGCATCTACAACATTGGCCAATGAGCACATTATCACAACGACCGATGGGGCTCCAAATGAAGATAATGAGGATAAGGCCATTGAGTCGGCGACAGAGGGCTCTGACTCCGATGCTGAGGCCAATACAGTATCGGGTTTTGAGAAGGGAAATTTCTTCTATCGTCGCAAGTGCCAGATGGTTGATGATTGGGGGCCAATAGGTCTGAACTGCACCGAGGAGGACATCGTCACTGAACGTGTCGAAGTGGTTGGTTTCTTGGCAAATTGGCTGCACACCTATCTGCACATCCGAAGTGAGTTCGAGATCCCGACGTTTTCTTCTCCCTCCTCCTTGGCATGTCGTTCGTTCAGTTAGACTAAGGCTTTCATGTGTAACTAATCGAAGTTTTTGTCCGCACACCCAAGCACACAGACACACACAACTTTGGTGACTACAGCAACAAAAACAACAACAACAAGAAGAAGAACTAATACCACAGCTATGTCACGTTTCGAAACACTGTAGACGATGTTAAAAAAGAAAAGAAAACATCTTCCCGTTTCCCCATTTCCATGCCTCAAAAAGCGACTCAGCTGTCGGCTCAGCGGCTGTCATCAGCAGAGCATACACGAGGTGCTGTGGCTGTGGCCGTGGCAGTGGCAGGAACGGCGCCCACCCACACAAAGTTGCATGTGCTGCACGTTGCACCCAGCTCGTTGCTTGCCACATGGTAAACTTTTTGATTTCGTTTTAGTCATAAACAAAGTCGCCCGATTAAAACTTTAACTCACTACGTTCCGCCCACGCAAATGCAGACAACGCGCTGACGAGCACACAGTCACTGAAGATCAGCCAAGTGTAAAACTCATCATGCTGCTTCGCCAGGCTTACACTAACTACTTGTTACGTTACTTGTAGTTGATATTAGGAAATTAGGAATCTATTCACACAAAGCCCGTTACTTATTTGCATTATATCTTCTACTTTGACTCACTTTCGCATGCAGAGCACCAGGAACAGTTTTACCTCTATTTAATCATATCGGTGACAGCGGGTGTTCTGCTCTGTCTAACGCTTGTCATCGGTCGGCTAACCCTCCAGCGACGTGGCGGCCGTTTGAAAAGGACCTCCAGTGTCAGCGGCGTGGCCAAAAACTTTGCTGAAACGCCAATTGATGGCACAGGTGGCAGCGGTGCCGGAGGTGGCAGCAATTTCCAACAGATGGCAACAGGTGAAACCCATCTGGCCGACACTTTTGGCGACGACATCTCCGACATCGATGTTGACGTGGACTTAACAGCTCCGGTGCCATTGTCCAGTCTATCATCACGGAATGAGGTGAGTTTCAATTGAAATTGTTTAACATCGGTATGGGTCTCTTGCGAATTTGCGCAGAAAGAGTGTAAACTGGGCCATAGCCTAGAGCTCAATCCTGTCTACTGGTTATCAGTACAATTACATGGAACTTAGCATAGGGTAATTAACTAAATCACCTTTCAATAGCTGCAATGAGCTCTCCTCATGCCCATTGCAGAGGAGGCCAGCTCAGCAGAAAGCTAGTGGCTTGGTCATTACCTGTAGTCATTACCTTAGGTAAATAAACATTGCTAAATATGGAAATTTCATTGTCCTTGCTCAAGCCGACAATAGACAACGAGGGCGCATCAAAAGCAACGGGCTTGTTGTGGTTCTGTTGAAAGGAAATGAGAGGAAACTGGGCGCCTGGGAAGTTCCCTTGCCATTTAACCCATTTTGGGCAAACAAAAGCGAGGAGTCCTTAAATCGCCCTTCTGCTCAACCTCAACTCCCACCTCCGCTGGGAAAATGCTAGTAGCCTTGCTCTGAATGCTCGTTGCAACAATTTTTGTACTTTTTGTTGTTTACTTCATGAGGTCTGAGCAAGGGGCAGCGAGCAACAACAAAAAGCCGCCTTATACAAGCATAAGCACTATATACATACATACATACTAAATGCATGAATGTGAAAGCATTCTGACGGTTTGTTGAAGGGTTGAAAATGAAAATTACTGCACCTGTACAATTTGGACAGCCGCCTTAGGGATATTTTACATAAAGGATGAAAAATAAATACCAACATAAAAAGGCAAGGCCAAGATGTTTACAGCAATATCGGGCCGTCGATTCTTCGAATCCTTTGCAGATTATTTTAAGCATATTCTTGATTGAGAAACATTTGCGAAAAATCAAAAGCACTTTGCACAAGCGCATAAATCCAGGGACAATGAACAATTTTGAAGTAAGCAGTCAGGACAAAAAAGGATTTGAACAAGTAGCTAGGTGTATCTTTCTGGTAGGAACAGTGTAATCATTTTTATTGAGTTGTTTAAAGTTAGTATGAGCAATCTTGTCCCTGCACACTGCAATCTGGTAAATTTTTAAAAATGCATTTAAATGAAGAAATGGGGTAAACGCTACTATGGTAACGTATCTGAAGATGAAAACTGCGAGAATGGTCTGTTGCAGACAATAGCCAGAATAAATGAGCAGCAGCTTAACTCTGCTTTTCTCTGCCTTTTCATATCCTTTGTCGTCACCGTCATCCTGAACGTCAACATCTCGGCATCATCTGCATGCGCCGCAAAATGGCATTGCCAACTGTTGGGCCTGGGCCAAACAAACAAAAGACCTACATGACATACGCACCGACGCCCAACTGTAGCTACGGCGGCTTACCGGGCGCCCAAGCGCATCATCCTTCGTCCACAGCAACCAGTGTGCTGATGGCACCACCTTCACAGCCCAACATTTACACCAGCATGGGCCATCCAGCTGTGAGCGGAGCAATGACTATAGGTGAGTAGCATAGTATGTAAAATATAAATTTATATACATATATAAAGAGCTTATTGCCATTTAATTCAAGCAAAGTGATCGTGACACTGTTTTAAGTACAATTTTGCAGCCTACTGGCTTTCAGCTTCCGTTCACATATTACCCATTTGCCTGCGTACCACTTGTTACTTCACAGGTCCTCACATGCTGGGTCCCTCGAGCTTGAGTGGCGTCTCACCAGCTTATCTGAGCGGCACAATCATGGTGCCCGGACATCAGCACACGCATGCAGGCACCCTGCGGCGCACTTTGATACCGACTAGCATGGGCCTGATGAGCTCGCCGTCACCACCGCCCGCAATGATGGGAACCGGCGGCGGCATGTCCCTGCCGCCGCACTCGCTGGCCGCCACCAGCGGCAGTGGTGTCTACTATGATAGCACGGTGCCGCGCACTCTGGCACGAGGCATCTCGACAGAGAGCAGCGGGCAGTATTTCTTTGGATGACACTCGCTGAACCGCAAGGCTTCACTGCCTATCGCCATTGCGGTACGGCCGCAGCCGCACTTGAATTTCAACATGCTGCCGATGTCGGCCACCATGGGTCTGGGCTCAACCATAGTGGCTGAATCGAATGGTAGCCGTGCGGGCACACCCACCAATAGCAACAAGTCGGACATACCAGCGATCACAGTGACTGCCTCGCCAGGACCGGCCTCCATTCTATTGGCCAACACTGGGCACACTTTGAAGCCGCCGAATTCTGTCAGTGACACTCGCTCGACCACGCCCACCGTTAGCAGCGGTCTGCAAATGTCTACATCTGGTCGTAGCCAATGTTTCTAGGATCAGTTTCAGATGCCAGCAATAGTTTTCAACTATCTCTCTGAAACTGAAGGAAACCAAGAGCCAGAGGACGAAGACCTCTTCTACTTGTAAATAACGTAACACTCACTTGTCGCTCCGTTTATCTAATCAAGTTAGTAGAATTTGAAATTAAAACTTACGCACATTTCTGCGGTTAATCATACAATGGCAGTTTAGAGGCTATTCTGTAATCATAACCAAATCAAATTACCTTCAATGGATTAAGATAGGCAAGGGCTCTCGACACGTACTCGTGCATACGAGAAATTCCAATTGTTTTAATGCATCTAGAGAAATCAAAACATTTAGTATAAATTTTAATACCAAAAACAAAACGTATTTTGAACTCCCTCAAATACATTGGTATACTTAGTATAATACAGTTTAAAATATATATATACAATATATATATGGTACTCATATTTCATGAATTTCTAGTCTTAAGAGCAAGAAGTTTGCATCAAGCATGTATAACGTGGACATAAAAATCCATAGGGAGCATAACTTAAGAGTTTTATTTGCCTTAAAACCAACAATGGTAAATAATAAAAAATTAATGAAATTATTAAATGTTACAAATTAGGATACATACAAAATTCAAGATACGATTTGTGCATTCTGAATAGTTAAGCAGAGATCCCTGACTATAGTTAATAATCAAAATTTCAGTGGAATAGAAGTGAGTATAAGAGCAAAATACTTTACATGAGAACCTGTAACGAAACAAGCACTAAATTTTTTTAAATTCCAATCTTTTTGGTATTTGGTTCATTTTCCCGCTGAAATACAAGCTCTACTGTTAAAATGGCTAAAATGAAAATAAAATAAACTGTGAGATCTGTAAGAGCCGTAAGAATTGTATTTGGCATATTCAATTTAGCGTCAGGTTTCAAAGACCCAGTGCTGACTTCTAGATAATTAGGTACTCAGATAAAAGTACCCAGTAAATACATCAATTATTAAATACCAAACACATATTGAATGTGCTATCACCTTTAAATATAATCGTTCATAGTTCATAGAAAGAAAGTGAGCCATACCACAGACAAGAATAGTTGAAAACTTTAGAAATTGTTAAGCACACGCAGAGAACCAGCTAAATAATCGCGAATAGATGCGTTTGTTTGCATTAGCCATGTAAATGTTTCTTCCAGTCCAAAACCAATTCGACTAACTGTTTATTAATACATATATATATGTATATGCGAAAGCCAAATACGAGTTTGCTGTTATTGCAACGTTTTTCTAAGGCAAGCTCAGCTGGAGGCCGGAACACATATTGTTTAATAAACTAAATGGGATTATTGAATTCATACAGAAAATCAAATTTAAAGCAATTGTGAACGATGTTATCGATTATTTTTCATTCTTGGGGTTAAGACATGAAACAGGGTAATAAACGAATATACGTATTATTATTAAATAAATTTACTGTGTTCTCGATATGGTGAGTATGCGTTGGATAAACACGCAAATGAATGTCTAACGCAAATATATTTTATTTCTAGTTTATTTTCAGTATAAGAAATCAAAACATTGAAAACAAGTCCTGCTAATCGATGCATATAATTGAATTTTCTGTTTGTATACGTGTTATATGTAGATTAACGAAGACAATTGAATTGGCCCACTCACTAACTAGCTAACTAACGCTCCGTTGTTAATTTTAGCATAAAAGCCAATTCTTTTTTTTTTTTTTTTGTTAATAACGTCAATAGAAGAACGTTAAAAGACACAGATATTCTCCATGCCGAATAGTCACGCAAAATAGAAGTCCGTTTTGTCTCTTCTTTGTCTGCAGCCGAGTGCAAAGTCTAATGGACTGCAATTGATTACTTCTGTCCATAATGATGAAGCCGCTCGTACAAACAATAAGTGGACCAAGTGACTGACTGCTCTCGTTATGAAAATGTATTCACAAGCACTTTCTTTGTTGGCAACGGCAGGACCAAAGTTAGGGATAATGACGCTTTTGCCAAGCAGCCGAGCAGCCAACTAGCCAGCCGCCCAACCACCTATTGGCAATAAGTTGTTAATGGCTCTGTGGCGCAAGTGGGCACCTCTGGTTAGTATATTGAGGGAAAACTTCACCATTTGCACCACTAGCACAGGGCTAATTATGATAAGTGGCTGCAAGTAGTTGTCGCCGACAGCCGCAGCAACTTAGTCGGCCCCACAGCCAGCGGTGACCAACCTGTCTTGCCCGTTGCTGTGAATCAGAAAAAGCAGAAGAAGCTAGGCATTGGTCCTAGGAAGCCTGGCACCGGCGTCAACAACAAAAACAAAAGTTTTTCAATTAAAAACGTTAAATAGCCACAAGCACTTTGCAATAAATTCATTCTGCAAATGAGTGGGAAACAATATTACACCCAATGAAATGCCATCGCCAAAACAACAAGACTAAGATGATAATAAAGCAAAATTGAAAAACATTGAAATATTTATGAACATGTCTCTTAAATTACAAGCAATTTATGTTTAAATGCTAGAAATGTTATCATTGTATTAATTTTTTCTTTTTTTGTGTTACATTTGAATGTGGAAACGACTGCATGTGTATATGTGTGTGTGCAGGCAATCACTGTAGCATACATAATAATATATATTCGCTGATTTCTGTTTGTTTTACTGACAACGGGGCGTATGCCAGTTTTGTGCAACAATTTAATGAATTCGCTTTTTAAATGCTGCCAAAACCATAAAACAATGTTGAAATGGCCAGCAACAGCAACATCGGCAACAACATATATATATATATATATGTATATACATCTGTCTATATACATATGTACAGACATATATATTCAGTGGCGTAGCAAGGACATGTTGTAGGGGCATAAACAATTGAATTTATTATTGCTTCCAAAGCGTATTGATTTCATGCGGATGTGGCTTTGTTCGGCAAAAATTCAATGTTGAATAAGAATAAAATATAAAGTATTTTATAGACATTACCATTATACAAACAAAAAAAACTCATGCTTCATATGAAGCTAATGACAGTGGTTTATTAATATTTTTTGAAGATTTCGCGGCCATGTCGAAAATAGGCCACGAAAAAATGTGGTTTTTCTGTGAGCATTTTTCAGTTATTTACATTTTTTTTGGCCAATTTCCCTAAAGGGAAATAGACTATGAAAATTCGCAACTACGCTTCTGCAAATATGTATGCAAGTAAGTATATTTGCGGCTCATCCCGGTCGCACAGAGCGCTCCGTGCTCCGTTTGCTACCACCCATTGGTCATTTACAATGATTTGCCGAAATATTTCTCGTTCCGTTAAATCAGTAAACGAAACACCAAAAATGTGTTAAAGCATTTGGTTTTCAAGTTGCTTTTTCGAACCCATACACATTTGTGTACTTGTGTCAATATTTGTCGGTTGTTTACATACTGGAATACTATATGAGAGTTCCTACAGCCTCTACTAATTATAGTACTTCATAACATGTATCATTTTTTACAGTTGAGTGAAAATTTCAGCTCTTTCTATAAGTTTGTTAATAAACAGTTCTGCGTTTTTTGCTTTATATTATTAATAAACATATTCTGTACTATTTCTCAGAGATCAACACAAACAGAAGGAACTATAAAGAGAATGTTTTTAATCTGCTCGCAACGAATTCCTTAATAAAATCTGTTTAAATATTGTAACGTGTGGAGTTGAAGGCATCATTATATTGCCCGACCCTTGACCTCTGCTGCTTGGTCGACCACTGCTAAATACAACCCTATATATATATATACATATACATATATATAAGTAATTTAGTTGGTTTCGCCTTGTTTTAGTCTGCTGCTGCTGCAAATGAAAGGCCAGCAAAATTGTAAGCGACTGACAGGCCGGCTTATGCATGTATAGTCCGGCAAAGTGCATATTAACTGACTCACGATGTTTGTGACATGACGTATTTCAAATGTTACGAATAACTAAATTTAATGAAGCAAGACTCACACAAGACTAAGCCCGATCGATGCAACTTTTACATACTTCAAGGACAAGGATAAGAGGGAAATTCATGAACTCGACATTCAAATTTGATGACTGCTTTATCTAATAGACCTGTTAAGGGTATATCATCATCGGTGTGTTATAATTTATTTAATTTGAAGCGTCCTGCACGTTCCTGTTGCTATCCACATCCCTTTTTTTTTTACAAATTGTTTTAGATTCTCTGCACGTTTCAAGCAACGCTTTTCAGCTTCACCGCCAGCACATTGCATGCTGTGCTGCAATGGCGAATGCGCAAACTCCCACCTGAGCCCGGATTCATTGGGAACCAAGCGTTAGCCGCACTCACGTCTGCATGCTCAGCCCACAGTAATTGGTGAAGTCACTGTCCCGGTTCACGCCCACGACGTTGTCCCAGCAGGGCAAGGAGGCGAAGCACCAAAAACGCTGATTCAGGTCATTGTATGTAAAAATTAATGGAACATTTTCCTGCAACGAGAATTTCATCTTTTCTTTCACGTATTTGTACACGGCAGCTTGTCCGCTTTTCTGTTCAGCTCCTGTACGCCAATCAGTCCACGATGCCATCAGTTTTTGCTTCCAATTTGTGTTAGTTCGCCCGAAAAGTTTCGTTTATTTAATTTGTAAGTCGGAGTTTCAAGCGAAAACAGGCGCTCTACGAGAAACTATTGCATTTTGCCCATTAAATTTGTTCAAAACAGTCAAAAAAGTTCATAAAACGCAGAAGTACTTATATGCTTTTAAAATATTAAAATATAAAAATAGAGCAGATAGTAAGGCAAACTTGGCATGCCAAACACTTAATACCATTGAAGACATTTGCCTTACGACCCTGCATATATGTGAGAATATTAAATCTCGTCAATGCAGAGTTTATTGTTCCTGTTGGAGTTATATGACCTATACCAATCTTCAAACTTTAAACTAAGAGGCTAGTTTGCAAAGATAGAAGTAGACGGACATAGCTATATCAACTCGGCCGTTGGCGCTGATCAAGAGTATTCATACTTCATAGAGTCAAAGATATCTGCTACATTACATGACAAATTTGTAATACCCTCTAGAAGGGCATAAGAACACCGAAATTCCCTTAGTTTTTTCAAATGAAAACCGATTAGTAAGGAAACCACAATTTACCTGATTTGTAGCCTTAAATTGATTGAGAGCAATTAATATCTATAGGTATTAAAGGAGGCTTTGAAAACTGAGTTGAAAAGCAGGAACTAACAATTGCATATATGCAAGCCATTTAAGCCCTCATTAAGTCAGAAAAAGTTCTTCAAATATTTCAACTATTTTACGACGCCTAAGCACCGGCATCGACGCATAGGCTGTGAGAGGGCGTGCAAGCGGGCGGGCGGCGAAAGGTTGACGGTGTCCTTATGGAATTTATGCAGCCCGTGATGGCCCTATGCTAAAACTTTTGCCGCTGCCTGAGTCATGCCAACCCCAGCCAGCCCCACCAGAGGATTGGGTAATGTTGTAATGGGTAAGTGGTGAGTGTGAAGATGGGCATTGCCTGGCGTGTCTGCTGGTAAATGCTCTTTAACTTATTATTGCCGCAGATGGTTGAGCGTCGTTATGCCAATCATTTCTATTCCGGATTCAAGAGGGTTTTGAGTCGTCAATGCTTAACAATTTACTGCCTAAGCCCTTAAGCCACAAGAAGTAGCTCATTAAAGCCAACACCAACTGACACTTGAGTGTAAAAAAACAGCGATATGCAATCGCATATTAAAATATACGTTAAAAATCTGCCAATTGGAAGCGATTTAGCTAGCAGCTAATTTCATTTGCTTAAGATGGTAATAAACGCTTAAATTTTAATGCTTGTCCGGCGTACAGCTGAGCGTTCTGTTTCACTGCATTCTGTACGGCGATAATGGGAATTTCATTTAAGCTAACGTTCAAGTGCTTCCCTGGAGCGGACATTCCTATAACATAAAATATGCTGCCTGGCTCTCATTGCATCCGGCACCAACCGACCACGGCCAATGCGCGCTCGTGGCCCTTTAAGCCCCAGCTACTCCAATAGCAAAGGCGCCTTCAAAATTCCATGACCCTAATTTTTTTGGAAGCAACTGCAACATTTGAAAAACTGCAATTAGGCTGTAACATGTCGTTGGAAGGGGCTGTCGGATGTTGCGTGGTGGTTGCCGGCTGCTGGTTGGGGGTTGTTGGTGGCTCGTGGGTGGCATGTACCGCTTGGTGATAGGGTGCGTCTGCTTTTGGGTTAAGCACATGTTATGTTACAGTTACAGTGACTCAGTCACCTTATACTTCGCACAGTGCACGCTTAACGAGCAGCGCGCTCGGGGACGGTTACAACTGAAATGAGACTCGGCTTGGCATGCGATGGCAGCT